TAATGTGGTCGGATATTGCAGTATCCGACCGTATCCGATCGTTTATGGCACGATGCCAAACGACCGTAATACGGTGCATAGCAAACGGCCGTAAATTGTGGTCAAACGGCCGTGTACGACACAAGTTGATCGACCTGGGATGTTGATTCTTATAATATAATTATATTTTGAAGAAATCTTTTCATAAATGTCATCGATTGAATCAATTAGAAAATAAATTTGTTTTACAATAATAATAAAAAAATCTTCATCTTCCTACATTATAGATGATTATATGTATTTAGATTCTCTTCATAAAATATGAAAAGATTTCACTAGTGTTGAAAAACTTGAGATTCTAAATTTCAGTAAGACAAAACTCAAGATCATTAAATAACGCATCTATTTGTCTGCTGACCATCCTTTAATATGCATGCGATTTATATTTCGTAGACGTGGTGTATTGGGTTGAATATCACATTGGTCCAAAAATTGAGCAACTAATGTACTTTGATTACTTAATCCAAACGGTTCATTTTCAATTTGTGCGCTACCATTAAAATTTGATAAAGTATTCTATTCAAAAGAATGAAAAAACTTCACATGAATTGAAGAGAATGAAAGCAATTTTAATATACTTTTCTTGGTGTTGCGCTAGATGCTTTTGTTACAGCAGACCGGGTAGTTTCATCTCCAGAATCACCACCTAGTGCCTCAAGTTCTTCTTCAAGGTGAAGAATTTTTTTTAAAACTTAATTATTAAAAGATAAATAAGAATGAAATTATTTAGTAAAATTAAAAATACTAACTGTCATTTGATGATGAACTATTTTCCATTGCGTTATCAGATGTTATCATGGTTGAATCAGCACGAATTTTCCAATTTTTATATGATTCAGCAGTTGCTTGAGTTCCTAAAAGAAAGTTATTTGTTACATATAATTGTTTCGTTCTCTACAAAGAACACGTATGCACCTGATATCCATTCGCTTATTGTATTTGCAACAAATTCTTTAAATTTATCGGTTAAATTCATGCGTGAATCAGGACATGTATCAAAAAATGTTTGATAAACTGCTTGAGATAAATAAGGTGCATAAATCTTTAATTATAAGAAAATGAAAACAATAAACATGAATGATAAACAAAATTTCAAAGCTAACATTAAAAAATTTATCTCGAAACCATGGATCAACAGAAAGAAGCAATTCAACATAATTTTTAGAAATTCGTCCAAAATATTTGTTACATTCTTCATCGACATCAAATTGTTTCTACATAGATAAAAATCAAGTGTTTCGAAATATCTAGCTACATAGAGTTCATTTTACTTTGAAATATTTTAAATAGAACCACCAAAATGTATCAACGAGTAAATGTTGACTTGTATCACTGTGAATTATTTTATTCCAATAATAAGGAAAATTTCCCTAAATAAAATATTATTTTATTATTTATGGCATGAATGCATGGAAATCGTAGCTAACCTTAAATTTTTGTGCATTAGTTACTTTATTTAAAATATCAATCACTTCAACGGTAGTTTCCGATGCCCAATCATTGTACACGTTCGGTTGAAAAGGTTTGTAACTCAAAGATTCTATGGTCTTACGTTCTATTTCATTTTCATCTGATGATACAGTTAGAAAGATTTGTTTTCGTCGTTTAAGTATAGCAGTTAATTCACTATTTGGATCAAGTTTATCCATGTCTATAAAATAATATGAACAACAAAAAAACAATCAAAATCAAAACAAATTCACGTTTTCTAACCGTCCAGCGATATACTAAATGAACGAGGGACTTTTGTCATAGGTATAAAATCATCATCATCTTGTTTAAAAAATAAATTAGTATATTCATTCATAGTTGTTTCACATTCTTTAATACGATCTTCAATGGGTTGTAAAACAGTTAATGTAGTTTTAAACATACTTGCATATTCCTATGATGAAATAGATAAAATCAAAAATGTTAACACGATTCGAGTTAAATCATCAGATTACACACATCATAAAAATCATCATACGTAGAAGGAAGAACGTCCGATGTATTGACAAGAATGTAATCTGTTTTTGGAAAATTTTTCTACATAAAACTAAAATGATCCATTGAAATGAAATAATAAAATATATCTTACAGCTAATTCACTGTTACATAATTCATCAAATAGGGATTGTTTTTTTATTTTTGTTTGCTGAATATCCACCATGATCTGTATGAGAAATAAACACACTCTGTTTTGTTTCGATTTAAAAATTAATAAATAAAAGGCAAAGGTAATTTTTGTTTCTGAATATAAAAAGAAAACAAAAAAAAAAGATAGGTAGACAAGACGAAATTTTTCTCTATCAGTCCATAAGAAAAAGCATCTTGTCCAGTTTTTTCTTCTATGCCGATGTATTTGCCACGGCTGTTGGTGTTCCACGTTGTCGACCGATTTTCACTGCTGTTATAGTCATATCTTTTGATGCGTTGGCTTGTTGTAGTTGTTCATGATAATTGCTCACATGTTCAACAAGTTTAAGAAAGTGACTACGTGATACAGCATGTTTATAACGAATTTTTTTACGAAACGGTTCACTATAATTCTATTTAAAAGACGAAAAATAATATTATTTTATATTGATTTTTTAGTAAATTAAAATGTCTATTTACAGCTTCAGCATCTTCCATTTTTAAATGAGCCGATGCTTCTTGTAATGTCAAGAGTATACAGTTCCATGGAGAAAATTCTTCACGACGATTCCATCGAACAAATGTTAAAGTATAAATGTCGGATTCTTCACTTAAAGCCGAATGACTATCCCAAATATTTGTAAACATATATTCTATATCATTGGTCTAATAAAAATAAGAGAATAAAGTATTCATCGAATAATTTTTCAAACAAAATTATCACGAGTTTATCGATTTCTTGACGAAAGTAATAGAACTCTTTTGATTACAAACAAATCTTATTCTTACCGTTAAAAAGAATATACAACGAGCTCCGTCACTATACGTGCATTCTTCTTTTTCAATCTTTTTAAGTAAAAATCTAAATTACAATAACAATTTTGATACAAAAAACAAATGATTTCAGAAAAATATTTTGAAAAATATCATACTTAAATTTCGTTTGATCTGTTCGTTTATTAGCAATATTTTCCAATCGAAGACATAGCCGACATTTACCAATATTTGCATTAGTACTACTAACAGCGAATTCTGTTGATGGATAATATTTTTGACAGCTACGACAATATAGTGTTTTTTGTTCTTGAGCAATCACTGGATCTTGTGGTACCTATGTGAAAATTTCAGATGAATATATCATATGTACAAGTTCTAAGGAAATTGAAAATCTTTTCTTATGATCCTATTGATTCGCAAGTTGTATGTATACTGCTGAAATTTTTATTTAACCTTCACGAAAGAGTTATACTGACTAATTTGATTAGATTTGTAGACTTCTCACAGTTATTAGATTTTATATTAGTATTTTTTGATTTTTATGGAATATGAAAACGAATAAGTAATTCAACGCCAATCCTCTCTGAAAGAAAGTACTAATTTGCAAGAATAGTTAAAAAGCATTTCGCGTACACAGTTGAAAATATTCTCTATCTCCAGTACGCACATCATCTTATTTGAGAGAATCTGAGGGAAAATATTTAAATTTTTCTATCGGTACAACTTGTATAAAGAAAGTGTTTAAAGTCATACCTTAAGATGTCGAACAACACCAGGATTGAATGTAGGTGTTTTAATGTACTGAAGAAACAGTGTTGCAATACGTTGACGTAGACCAGATAAATTTTCTTCCTTTGTTCCGCGCATTAGAAGATCAGCTTCACGATCAATTAATTGAATAACCTCTTGCGTTAGACGACATTCATGTTCCTACAAATCAGTTACGTTTTTTTTTATTGTATTATAGTTAAAAATATTTTCAATCAACATACTTTCACAGTATGTTTTAAAGTTAGAAGAATATCAAGTCGTTCATCGAGTGTTAAAAATTTCATAGTAATTGTATTGTAGATTTGCATTAATTCACGTGCACGAATCGAATAAGGTGTACTAATAGTAGAAGCAAAATTTTTTTTTAAATCTTTTCAATTTTAAATCGAAAATCTTTGTTTTATATTCGTAAAGAATATTTACTGAGATATTTTTTTTTACTCCAGTAAAGGTTAGCTGAGACATTTTGATTTACTTAGTGGTATTAAGTAATATACGTAGCGAAAACAATTTGAAATTATTTTTGCAATACGCTAATTACAGTATCGTGCACTAATCTCAATTATTTTTGATTACATTTGTAAACTATTATATCCTCGTAGCACTTGATGTGCTTCATTTTAATCATTTTCCTTGCGATACCTATAGGAAATAATTGTTTTACAAAAAAAAGAATCATCTTTTAAGACGAACTATCTTTTGCACTTTTGTCATACTTAAATCGATTTCATTTGATCAATAATTTTTCTAATCACATTTAGAAATCTTTTAGTTAAATGCATAGTCTCAGGTGAATCAATCCGATACCGAATCCCATCGGATTCTATGGGGTCCTACCATCCGACGAAATCCCGTTGGATTCCTGGTTGAGGAATCAATGTCGAATCCGACAGTTGTATTTCCAATGATATCCGATTGTCGGAACCAATGAAATCCGAAGCATTCCGGTTCCGATTGACGGTTACTGTCGGATTTTCTTAGTTTCCGATATTAGGATCAGATATCGATTCTGAAATCAGGAATCCGACGATAATCCGATAGTTTCCTTGCGCCTTCCGAAGAGCTTCGTCGGATTCCAATAGGAACTCATCGGATCCTAGACTAGGATTCATTCTTCTGGGGTCTACATATTTTTAATATTTTAACTGCTCTATGTGTAAAGAAAAGAATGATCTAATGAAATAGAATCTACTAATGACTTGCAACTGAATTTAATCGATATTACTATAAAGAATGTAGCGGGAAGAAACAAAATGAGAGATCTATTATAAAAAAATAGCACTAGCAGTTTTTCTCAAGCAACTTCTTTAGTTTGACTCTGATTCAAAATCACTTACTCCATTTCTGTTGTTGAACCATCTTTATATTTCCATCGTTTGGGCTGAGCAACACGTTCAAGAAAACGTTGAATGTTAACTTCTTTATTATATTTTTGAGCTTCAGTTTTATAGCGATCAATAGTTGCTAATAGTTCAGTTTCTTCATCAACTAATAAGGCTAACGCTGCTTTTCGAGCTATTTTCAAATTAAAAAAAACCGTCAATTATATTAATTCGTATCTTCATTGTTTCTTACATGCACCCTGTTTTGTTGCATTTATTTTAGCTATTTCTTCTTCACGCCATTCTAATAATTAGAAGAAAAAAAAAAGACAATATGAAATTTATTGATTTATCTAATTAAATGTTTTACTTTCAAGTGCAGCATAAAGTACATCGAAATCATCTCTTGTTCGTGGATTTAAACGTCGATCAAGATCATGTTGATAACGATTTTGTCTTTCTTGTATTTTTCTTTGTTTTTCTTCTAATTCATACTGTAATCGTGCTTGAAATGCTTCTCGTAATATATTTACATCACGTTTTGCTAACCAACGACGAAAATATTTTTGTATTATAATTGCCTATGAAAACAATACATGTATCTATTTTAATTTTATCTTTTATTATATTGTTATTTACTTTTTTAGTTAAAATATCAAATTTTTCTTCAGCAGTTTGATAACGATGTGGTGTCAAAAAACGATCGTTTTCAGTTGTGACAAAATAACCAGGTTTACTCATTTGTGTTGATTGTTCATTTGTTGTTTGAATTACTCGATGTCGCCCTTGAATTGTTTGTGTATCACGACAATAACGTATGACACCTTTATCCGGCCTTTGCGGTGGTAATGTTTGAGCACTAGCATGATGAAATTCTTTTCCATTCATACGATGACGTACACCACCCAAATAAGGTTTACGAAAATTATTTCGTTCGATTTCAACAACCACATCACGGCTCATGCTTTGACCTGTGTTTTAATAAGATAAATATTTGCTTTTGTTAGGCAAAAGTAAAAATAAATAGTCACTATACCTTCATCAATTCGAACAGTAATTACATCAGGCATAGATATATCTTGACGTGGTTTATATGGTCTTAATGGTTCATTTATTGGATCTTTTGAATGTAATTCTAGAAAAAATGAAGCCCAAAAAACAAAAATAAAAATGAATAGTATTTGCATTTCTAATGATTAACAAACCCATGCTGACAGTTGTATTTGGTTCGACTTCAATCTGAGAAAGACTTAATTGATTATCAAGAACCTTTTCTATTTACAAAGAAAAAATTCAGCGATGATCAATCACATGAAAATTTAAATAATAAATTTTACCTTTAAATGTTACTTGTAAAATTTTTTCTGGCATACGTAATTCTTTAGCGAAGTGCGTGATTAATTCACTTATTGGTGATCGAAGTGGAAAAGCGACGGTTACAGTTTGTCCAATTGATTCAAGCAACATTTTGACTGTGGCCAGTTTTGGCTCTTGTTCGTCGCCGGAATATTTTGGTTCATTATCAAGATCAATATTAATATTTTCATCCTTATCATTAATCATCGTTGAAACAGGCTGTAATAGTAATTCGTGATTGTCAGACATTGCTAAAACCTTTGAAACACACAACTGAATAGAAATCTATTGAACCATTTAAAATGTTTATCACCTAGCAGCAGTCCTCTATCAAGAGCTTTAATCTAGATGTCTCTAGTGCCGATTGAAAATCTATTGGATAAAATTTAATTTCTCCCAAGTAATATAATTTTGCATGCCAGATTCAATTAATAACAATAATGAATAATTTGAAAGTATCTAGTGGTTATGGGCGTGGTAATTCAGTGAAGGAAATCTTACAAAATTCAGTAAGTTAAATTATTGGAATTTATTTTGATTGAGTTATTTTTTAATTATCATAGTCGAATTCATATTTATCTACACCTGCACCATCCATGAGTATTAATAGTAATTTAAATGTAGCTAGTGGACGTGCTGCACAAGTTTTACGTCAGATAAAGTCAGTTGATTAGACTTTTTGGTGTTTTTTTCATTCGATTATTTCTATTTTAGACAAACATCTTTAGTAAATTTTTCAAAAAATCTGTAAGTATTCTTTTAAGAATGTACAATATTTCTTCATTCGATCAACATCTTATGTAATCTTAGTCTAGAAAATCAACTATTTATTCGTTGTACAGTAACACAATGGCATAAATATGTAGTTGAATTTGAACCATTAATAACGAGTCGAACAACTCGTTTCACAATGATAAATCATCTATCGAAAACTCTTGGTGACTTACATAAACTATATGATGGTCAATTTATGTATGTTCCAAATCCATTGTCAAAAGAAGTAGAAAAAAACTTAGATTTTTATTTCTTACAAATAAAACAAAAACTATACTGTTGAATAGGCTTTTGTTTTTAATAATACAAAAGTAAATACTCCCAATGAAGTACGACTTAAATACAGTGATACAATTAATATCGAAGAAATACCTATTGATCTAATTAATTCTTTATTTCGATTGTAAGTTAAATATAGATTTTTAAAAGAAATAAGAATAAAAATAATTATTTTAGAGCAATCGACAAAGGACGAGAATCAATTCTGAATTCTATGAATCGAAATAATGGATATCGACAAAAGTAAATTAAAAAAACAGAAAAATATTTTCTACAAATTAATTGTGAATCGATTTTAAGAGTACGCTATTGGAATGGTAATATTGTAAATATTGAACGTAAAGAAGATGGAATATTATTAACTTTTGATTTCGCACAAAAATCATCGACAACATGTTATGAAGAATTGTAAAATTTTCATTGTCAAAAAAAAAAAACTCGACTAAACAAATCAAATTTTTTATTTAGAGAACGTTTCTATATGTCAACATGTGGTGATGATTATCGAGAATCTGCTAGAAAAGAATTAATCAATAAACTTGTTCTCACACGATACGATAATCGAACACAACGTATTGATAATATTGATTTTCAACTTACACCAGCAACATTGATAATTAATGATGAAGCAAAAACAACATTAATTGATTATTATTTGTAAGTCTTATTTTTGTTTAAATCTAGAATATAAATGATTCATTTAATTACTCTAGGAATCGATTTGATATTACAATTAAAGATCCTGATCAACCATTACTTGTCTATTGTCCTCGGCGACCCGGTGAAAATACTGTAAGATTAAATTGCTCAACTAGTATTTCGATTTAATAAAACGTTTTCAGACGAATACGGAAGTAAATTATCTTGTTCCAGAATTTTGTTATTTAACTGGCTTAGCTGATCGTGCACATCGAGATGCTCGAGTAAGAAAATGTTTTTATAATATCAATAGTGCCTATTTTCTTTTTATAGGCACGTAAAACGCAAAATATAAATGTATTAGATTCAGCTGGTCGTCAAAATGAAATAAGCAACTTTGATGATATGATTCGACGAAATATGACAACAAATAAATACCTTACTTTATGGGGTATTGATATTGTTGCAAATACTACTCAAACACATTCGATAATAGACGAATCATATCGAGTATATTAAAGAAAATCAAAAGAATTTTTCTTTTATTTATCTGTTTAGAAACTTTCTATTAATGATACAGCGCTTGAAGATGATGAAGATAACGAACACAAAGATATAGTGGATAATGATTATTCTTACGGACATTTTACTAAGCCGGTATGCAAAAAATATCTATTTGATTATAATTGAAATTCAATGGTATAAATTTTTCAATTTATGCCTCTAATCTTTCTGTATAAACTCCCCTACAGAATCGAAGCCAGTGGGTGGTGTCTCTGTTCTGCAAGCTATAAGCTATAATTTTGTAACAAAGCATGCCCTGATACCGTTTTTTTGCATTATTTGATAGAGGAATGTTCATCCTTTCATTTTTCATCAATTTTAGTTCATTTTTCATGAAGTAAACCTTGATTTTCAACGGAGCAATCTAATCCAGAGGATAGACTTCTATTCTGTGTAGAAGTTTAGATGTGGGTTTAGAATTTATGATTATCATGAGTCTATGTTGTCGATTAGATTGGCATAAAAATTGTCATATTTTTCATTATTTGAGTAAATCCTAAAGCCTTCGATAATATTATCTATGCATAGAAAGTATGAGTACTGAATTTCGTTTTTTTTTAGATTTTATTTCATTAATTAACAAAAATATGAATAGCTATATCTACGAACTGAAAACATTAAACGCTCCTCTATGTAATTTTAGCAATCTAATTGAAATTGATAGGGTTTTATTGAAATTCTTTCTTTTTTCTACGATATGAGTTATTAATTATTTAAGAGTAGATTTCATATCTTAAAACGAATGTAACATAGATTTCTTGTATTCAATTCAATTAAACATAGTCTGCATACCATCAACAGAGACATAACTAATCTTAAGTAGTTCACGATCGTTCCGTGGATTTATAGGACCAACGTTTAAATTCAGGAAATTGAAGATGTGTTAAATAATGGATTCATACCGATCTTCCTTGAGATCTTCTGAGTTCCTTCAAAAAATTATAGATCCCAACAGTATCAATAACTGGATTTTTCTTTATTTCATATAGTTTAAAATTGTTGTTTGATGATAAATGATAGTCTAAATTGAGTCCCTGAAAAAATTATTGTATTTCAATATCAATAGAAAAATATCTTTTGGAAAACATATTTTGACTAAAACTTTAGCTATTGTTTTATGAAAAAAAGTAAGGTAAGTACAAAAAGATATTTAAGTTTACTTTTCCGATAGAATTTTTTGGAACATCCTATGAAATATGTTTACTTATATTTCAAAGATCGCATTGAACAACTGGCTATTAATTTATCCAAACATTGATGAAGATCGAGCATCAACATATGTAAATATGCTTCGACAAGTAGGTCAACAACAAGGAATGCTTATTAATGAACCAATACACGTAAAATTGGATGATGATGAAACAGCAACATATGCAAATGCTCTTCGTAATAATCTCAATCGCCAAGTAATTGGTTTTTTTTTATAAACTCGTGATATTCTTCAGATTAAAATCATTCTCTAGGTTCAGCTTGTATCAATAATAGTTAAATCACGTCGAATTGATCGTTACAATACAATTAAACGTATTTGTTGTATTGAAATACCAACACCAACTGAAGTAAAATATTTTTATTGTAAATCTATTAAAGGTTTTCTACTTGTTTGCACATCATCTGTTTAGATTGTTTTAAGAAGTACGATAGCCGACGATGATATTCTTCCAAGTGTTGCATTAAACATTGCTCGAGATATTACTGTTAAACTTGGAGGACAAATTCGACCAACTAATATTAATATAGTAAGATCTATTTCAACAAGAGAAAAAGTAATTTTTTATTCTTTCAGTCAAATTTCATGATCATTGGATTAGCTACATGGACATCGGAACATGTAAATTATAAATCATCAGAACATTTTGATTATGTTTTATCTATTGTTGGTTCACTTAATAATACTATGACAGAATATTTTAGTCATGCAAAAGCATATACAAACGAAAATGATCTTCGGTCTGATGTTGCAAGTTTTGTTCAGCTAGCTGTTGATGCATATTATAAAGTATGTACATAGGATTTTCTTTGCATCCATAATTTTGATTTAAAACATTTTATTTTTTCTAGCAAAATAAAATTTATCCAACAACACTTATTATTGGACGAAATGTTTTTTCGTCATTTGATGATTTAAATATCATTAAGGAGAATGAAATTCCGTCGATTATTGATCTGATTACAAATAATAGTAATATAGAAGATTATGAACCGCGATTGATTATATTTACATTTATGAAACAAATGATTTATGATTCCTACAAATATGTTCAGGTTCGTAAAATTGTGACTTCTAATATTCAACTGAGAAATGATCTCATTCATATAAATCTGTGAAATATTAAGAGAAGTCAGTTGTTCTCCGATTAGAGAAATAACTTGCCGATGAAATTTACTCGTTTGTGAAGAAAAAAGAATTCGAGACTAAAATCAATGACTGCAAAGGTCTTTTTTGTTTTTGTTGCGTTAAATGAATGATTGTAAAAGATAAATATCTAATGCTGTTTTCCAGTTATATTAAATCGAATTTTGAGCAAGATCAAGAAGTCTTTTTAACATGAGTAGAAGTACTGATTTTTTTTGAAATTATAGTTCAAAATGGTTAACCGGGATGGATCTCATCCTTAGTATTGTTGTAATATATCACTCAATCTTAACAATGCAAACTTGATCTATGTTTTTGACGAGTTGTAACACTTAGTTCTCAGCCATAAATATATCAAAAGCTGTCGATGTGAATCCTGAGGGAGTATTATGTAAAATAATGCGTGCTTTTTGTTGCTAACACCGTAACAGACAACTCTACATAACCACCCAAAATGAGAACATAGTCGATGTATTATAATGAGACGTTATTAATCTACGATATTGGATTGTTTTTGATAAGAGCGTTTCGACAATAAAAAACTAAGCAGATATATTGAAATTTAACGACCAATAAGAAGCGAGGAACAAACTTTTAGATCACCTTTTATATTGCGACAAGCGTTTCAGTATTGACAAGTGGATGTTTACTTGCTTTTTTTATCACGTGAACAAAAGCATCTCTATTTAAAAAATAATGCTTCTTTTCCCCGGAATAAATAAATTTTCAAGAAATATGATGAAGTCATAGTGACCGTTTCTGTTTTTTATTTGATCAATCGAACTTTTCCGAAATTAAAAGAAATTCTCTTGTGGCGCGTTTGTATTAACAATAGTTTATACAAATCCAGGTTTGACACGCTGAACACATAGCATATAATCTCACGGATACAAATTCATGTCTCAGACTTCAATTGTTTGAATTCATGCAAAAGGACTTTCGAAAAATATCCTGTGAAAATTTTCAATACTATATTACAAAAACAAAATTATGCCAGATACTAAAATAGTAGATGATGACACACGTACTTAATTTAACACAAACATGATACTTTGCCATGTCCATATGAATTCACGATTCGACATAAGTTGGATTTCAATTAAACTAATTATGAAACCCCAATTTATGTTACTGTGAAGAAGTTCAAATGCAAAAGAAATAGCACATACTTATAGATTCTTATAAGTTCGAATAGCCTCAAATACGTTCTTTCTATTTTCTACACATGAGATCTCATTAGACTAAAAATGAATTCTATTTATATCTCTTTTAGCCGAAGAAAGCTACTAATACTGATTATTTTGTTGCAAACGATTCGTAAGTATTTATAAATCCTCTTATGAAATAGATAAAAATAGATGTATCTATTTTCTAGACCAAGCTACTGCTTTTATTTATCATCACATCGAGATAATTGTTCAACTTTACAAGCTCGTCAATTTCTCGTACTATTTGATAATACTGATTTATCAGCACAAAAAATTCAACGACTTATACTTTACTTAACATTACACATTCCACAACGACATCATTTCTTTTTTCCATCAACATGCCGAGTAAAAATATTTTTTTAGTTTATTAAGAAAAAAAAACTGAATGATTTATTTCTTTCGCTTCCCAATAGTTTGCTCAACGTCTTTCATCGTTAGTAGGTGAAACACTTGGTGCTTTACCAAACTTGGCACAATATAAAAATTTGTTCTATTTGTAAATATTAACAGTGTTTTCGTTTGAAAAAAAACTTCCGTTAACTCTAGTCGAGTGATATTGTTTTGTTCAGATTATATGAAATTGTTTTGTTATTGTTATTTAAATGTTTTTTTTCTTGTTTCTGTGTTCATTCTAGATGCATATTCAAATTGGACATCAAGAATCTATTAATCTATCATCACTGAATACATTTGGTGATGTCATTCAAGGTCTAAATGATCTATTGGGTGAAAATTCATATAGTATTGAAAGAAATGGAAAGAAAATCGATTTATCTGCTGAAAATCAATTGTTAGAAGATGAAATCTATAAAGTTTGGCCAAAAGTTTTGGGAGGAAAAGTAAATTTTTACATAATCGGCTTGTCTAAACGTAATGCTGTGACATTTTGACAAATTGTCTTGAAATTATCTCGAAAGGCATAAGAGCTAATAACATCGTTCAAACGTCATTCGACGCAGCTCATCATAATCTATTTATGTTGAAATAATGACCTAGTTTGAATGAACTTTCACGCTTCTAGAAAGGTTTTATCATCACGTAATACTGTGACAAAAAAGAAGCCTTTTTCTAGGGCTGCTTATAAACCTCTAGTTTTTTTGACAAATCATTTCTTCAAATTGAATGGGCTTTCAAGCAGTAAAAAATAATTTTTTCTAAACTACTTTCGCTCAGATTAAAAATGCAAAAAACAAACGTAACGCTGTGACATGTTTTTTTGTCGATCAAATTTGAAGCACTTAATATGCTTAAAAATATTTAATCTTTATATATATATTGATCACTCCCCTTCATATATCCTTCTACAAAAAAAATCAAGTTGCTACATCGAAATACGAGCTCAATAATTGTATAGTCAGTAAGAAACTGTACAAGAGCTTAGGAGTTGCCCTGAGGAATGAGAGTAGAAAATAAATAGGCCATTTTGTAGAGAATCAACTTCTGCATCGAATGATATCTTAGTCTGCATTTTTGTTTTAAATTTCTTGGTTAGAAAATTGAAAATACAACTTTTTAAAACTTTAAAACCCAATTTTTTTAAAGAAAACAGTTCAAATTCACAATCAGTGTAAAAAGCTATACCAGAAAATACGCTTAGGTTTGTCTATATTGATTGAAAAAAGAATTTTTTAATTTGTTCAGCGAAGTAGCGCGTTACGTGGACAAGCCGTAATACAATTCATTTCAAATCTATTTAATGAATATATTTTTCTTTCAAGGGTGGTTTTGGATCTTTATTGCGTTCATTTGGTAAACAAATTCTTATATCAAAAAATAAAGAAGCTTGTCGAGATTTAAATGGACGACGTATGCGAGATGTTAATAATGAGAAAAAACTTAAAGTATGTTGATATCTAAACACGATACATAGTTATTTACATATTACATTTTTGTTTCTTGTTATGATGAAAAGCAAAATGCTTCTGATTTATATGAATCATACTAAAAAAAGGCTGAGTGTGCTTTCCTGCTTTTCCACTTAGTGGCAGGTCAAAATGTTGCTGTCTTCTCGTGATTATTCATAAAAAGAAACAAGTCGAGCCTATGAATAGATATATTTTTGTTCCCACTGAAATACAATATGTTCAATAAATAAAAATAAAAATTTACTTTTCATCAGATGATAGTTGAAAAAACATCTGTTGTTATTTTTTTTAGGAATGGATGCAAAAGCAATTAGAAAAACCTGTTACACCATCATCTGATCAAAAAAGTAAATCATCAGCAGATGAAGATCAAAAAGATTATCGAAATGTTCCACCACCACATAAATTTTCTGATGCTGCTTATGATGAACAAAAGAAACAAATTGCTGACGACATGGATGAATCTGTACAAATAGCTGCACAATTAATTCAAGAGGAAAAAAGAAAGAAAAAGAAAAAGTCATCAACAGCAATTAGTACAAATGACGATGATGATAATGATAAAAAAGATAATGACGACGATGAAGATGTTGAAACAATAGCAACGACGAAAAAGCGACGTCATTCAGAAGATATCCTGGAAGATGGAGAACTTAAAATGAAGAAAACAAAAAAAGAAAAAGGAGCAAGTGCAGCATTCTTCCTTGGTATTGATCTTGGTGATGTATCAACAGATGACGATGATGAAGACGAACCTGTAGCAAGTGCTAAAAAGAAAAAAGTTGCTAAGAAAATCTAAATATACTACTTGTTTTGTTTTTCGTAATTGTATGTCTTGTTCATTCGAATTCTCATTCTCATCTAAAAAACATTTGATTATTTGTGGTGTATCTATTTAATCAATTTTCTATTTAGAAAATATCTGCAAAAAATTGATTTTTATATATTCAGGTGGTACTCGAGATTTTTATGAAGCAAGAAAAATGAACATGAGCATCTGTGAATGATTGAAATTCACGGGCAAACATAAATCATCAATATTGCTTTTTTCTAGTGCCAGATTTTTTACGGGACGATATATTTCGTATGACAGATAGCTTTGGGGTTACATCTAGGTCTGAGATAAAGGAAAGTTTTCCGTATTCATTTGGGGAAAATATAATTATGTTATGGCATGAAACAATATTTAAGAGACGTTATTTATTTCTAGATTTATCGCGCTAGTACATCGTCTAAAGGCATTCCCCTTCAATCATCATGATCCTATTATATGATAAAAACTATTTGAGCGCACAATAATTTACATAATAAACTCAATTAGGTTTAATCTTCAGCTCCTTCCTCTTCATTAGATTATTAGTTTGTTAGCTTTATAATTTATTATTCTGTAGATCTTATAAATATAATAATTAGTGATGAAAATTAATGGCTAAAGTATACAAATGTTATTTATGAATTTTTTCTGCGTTGACAAACATTAAAGTCTTAGAGTATAAAATGAAAGATTTATGATAGATGAATTTTCTTAATCGCAATAACATGTCATTACATCGATTTGAACTACCTTCGAAAATTAAGTTCTATAGGGTTACGTTATCCTATTTTTCGAGAGGAATTCTGTTACTTTCCTTCGACTTATGATAAAATCTTGTCATTCTCTCATAATGCATTTGCCTCTTTTTTTTTACAATTTTCCCTTTTCATTGCAGATGAATTTTTGTTTTTGAGTTTATTAGTTATCAATTTTTAGATAGATTTCATTAGGTAATTAAAAAAAAGTAATTGTTTTTAACATATTGGCATCGTGAGTAATTTTTGGTCAGCGATGGAATCTGTCAATGAAAATACAAAATAATGATTCTATTACCTTACTACATATGTTAATCTATAATCAATTTTTTATGTATTCTATGACGTGAAATTATTAGGAATCGATATTGATTTATTTGCAAAAAACAATATCCGTATATCAGAGCAAATCATGAATTAATGATACATCGATTTAGTTATTTAAAAAAGCTACATTTTTATTTGTTCGAAACAAGCTCATATAATTAATGGATGCTAATGACTTTTTTTTTTATATTTAATAAGAAATATATAATTAGAAAATTGCTCTTTAAAATTCACCCTAGTGCATATGCAATTCGCACCTTATTTCCGACTTTAGTCGGAAGTTCTCCTAATTATACATTTTAACGCAGTAAACAAAATTCTAATTTAAAAATAAATTATCAGCGTGAATTGTATAATCAAATATACCTTGTTAGAATCTATTTATAAAAATTAAGAAGTTTTTAATTGAATATAACCCTAATTCTCTCCCAATGAATATTTATAAAATAAGCCGATAACCTTTTAAGGATTATTAAGCTACTAAATATTTTTAGCTTTATGCTTCTAATGTAATTAACTTCCATCTGTTCTATTAGCAAAACATTCATCGCACAGCTAACTAACTGATATGATAATAGCCATAAATTGTCTTTCCTAATTGAGGATATATCTCTGTAGCTTAGATTGATCAATGACTGACAGAATGGCATAACGAGAACAACTATCTCTTGTAAAAGATCAGTGTTGCAATTATCCCGATGATTGTTTCAACGATAATAATAACATTGCGCTACATTCATAATTGTTGTAGACCTTGAATCTTAGAAAGAGAAAATTCGAACTGGCATGCTCTCATACATCTATCGTATACATAGGTAAACATGATCGTTTAAGAATATTCGATTAATAATCAAAGAAAAATAGAGTTTCGGAACGAAATAAAATATTGAAATTAACATGTGAGCTCCGACATGTTTTCTATGATAATGAATGAATTTTAATAGATTCTATTGTGTTTTTACTAAATGATTAAATCTCTATCATCAGTTTTACTTTTCATTTCAAGTGGCTGAATTTTTTTTACGATTAACCTATGTCAGTTTAACATTCCTTGCGAACCAATATCTATCATTCTGTTAATCAAAATCTCACAGTTAGATACGAGATATACGCATATTGATAAGTTATATGACAGCTGCTGTTTACATTTCTGATGTAGCGATTTTTTTCTTTTTTCTTTTTAAATAAATCTTTAAGCTTTCATTAGCACTCGATACTAAATGAATGTTTATAATCACAAAAAAAAGAACAGCAAAAGCAAAGCAAGCAATAATCTGAGCATAATATAAAAAAAATCATAACTTAGGATTGATAATCAATTAAATGTTGATACATTCTCTTTTTCAAAAAATGAAACACTCTGTGTTGCTGTTAGGTTTGTGTCGATCAATTGTAGTTTTGTTAAATCTTGTATATTATTATTTACAGTTGCCAAATATTGATGATTTTTTATCAAATGTATTGATGAATTACTTGGTTTTGCATTAGACCCTAGAACATTCGCATTACGACTTGATACCGCTGTACGTTTTATATCAGTTTGTGCATCAAAACCAACTGGCAATGGTCGACATAATAAAAAGTGTTGACCAACTTGTCGAAATTTTCTGTCAAAAAACGCATAGAGAATGAACGTTGATGAGGCATTGATAACAGACAAAAGATTATTAATAGCTAAATATTGCCTTGCGCGTAGATTAGCCATTAAACTAATGCCAAACCATGAATAAAGAACATTGAAAATAAAATAAGGAAATTGTGTGACAAGAAATACGAATACAATTGATAATAATAAGAAATTAATAGCGTTCGAGGATCGATTTTGTTTTGATAAATTTCCCAGTAAACGTTTACGTTTACGTACAGTATATAACTTTTTAATAATCATAGCTTTACATATTATTATTGTTGATAATGGAATAAGAAAAACAAAAACAAAATAAAGATATTTACGCATTAACAGGCGAAATAATGGATGTGCTCCAAATGTTGATACAGATATAACTCGTGTATTATTTCTCTTTACTAAAGTAAATTCAAACCAAAATGGTATACAATATAGTATACAAAATAATGCAACACATAATACAACAAACACTGCATGTCGTGGACTACGCCATTTATGACCTCGAAACGGTAAACATATCAGAATAAATCGATCAAAAGCAACTGTTGCTGTCAAATATATTTGTATTAGCAAGCATGTCACATGAATAGGAAATACTTTTGTAAATATATATTTATAAAATGTTTCAGCATCAAACGTTGAGCGAATCCCGTGTGTTAGTAAAAAACCAATTAAAACACATGATGATGCACATGATAATGCAAATATATAAATGTTTGTTGTTGATGTACGCATCATTCGACTGGATAGTATGACACACGTTAATGTATTGCCTAATAAACCACATATACAAACAAGTAATAGTAAGTAGCCTTCGACAATGCGTTTAAATTCGACTAGGCGTTGCTCGTACGGTGCAATCGTCGCCGATGACGTTGAATTCATAATAGGGCGGATTGATGATCAATTGAAATTTCTTCTAGATTTTTTACTTCTTGAAAAATAGTAGGACGAAAACTAAAGAATATCAAAGAGCTTGTTTTTAGTTTCCTAATAAAATATTTATAATCTTTGGATATATTTTCAAAAAATGCTTTGAACTCTAGCTATAATGTACTATTTCTTTTTTGTTCTTCAATAGAAGGTAAAATCTAGAACTAAAATTTAGATAGAGTAAGATAAAATAACAAATACATACATATATATACGTACATATTCAATATGTCTCAAACAAAAGAAAAAATTAATCTCGTATTAACTTTACTTACAGAGAAGATAATCAAATATTGATCTATGAATATATTTGATGGAATGACTACAAAAATGATTTCAACATTCTTTTACATTCTATCATGAAAAGGAATGATTTCATATGCACAAAAAATAAGCCACAAGTGGTAATTCTTCCCTGGGTATTTAGATCGATGAGAATATGTTTTCACTTTTCTTTTATGTTACTCACATGCACAACACAACTACTATCGAAGAGAAAAACTAATGGCTTTTTATTGGCTATAATCATTTTCATTGTCATCGTGTTTCATCATGGTTTGACGACTTAATATAAAAACACTAAACTTTTTCGTTTGCCTAAGAGTCTTAAAACCATTTGCCAGATTATAATAATTGAGTAGGCACTTATTCAATTAGTTTTATATTTGTAGATGAAGGTGTGCTTGTTAGTGCAAGACAACCTTATGGAAAAAGAAAGCTGAATATATTGACAGAGAGTACAATGCAACTATCAGATTACTTCATGCGACAATGTGCAGCTGGTAATAATACTACTCCTATGGATGATAATGGGAAGCGCGCGTTGTGCACATGATTCAATATATTTGAACGAAATACTTTCGTGTAACTTATTCTTTCGGTCTTCCTGATCTGCAATAATGGAAAATTCTCGAAAATCGCATGCAATGATATTGAAATGAAAATACAGAAAAAAATCTCCTAGCCCCATTTACATTCTTTTTGCTATATATATATATATATATATAACTACGAGTGTATGCTATGGATTGACAATCTACGTGATTTGGATTATGAAAGACAAAGAGTACACGAAGAATGACTATATTTATCTAAGAGATGAATTCCCAATCTTATCTATAGACGTAGAATCAAAGAATAATCTTATGTTATAAACACACTATACTGAAGTTAGTCAGGCTAGTTACGACTAATATTAAATTCCTATCAGTGTGCTTTTAATCTCCCTATGCTCCTGTCTAGTGATCTTCTTTATCAACCGGAAATACTGTGTGCTCATCAGTATTAATAGAGCAATGCATGCAGTCTCTATTTCTTTCTTTCTTCTTTTTTTTTTATCAGTCTAACAACCGAAATGAATGTCTGCCTGCGTTTGTTTTATAGAGAAAAAAGTAGCTCGAGAGAAAACTCGAGAATGAGAGAAGAGTAGAGAGAACAGAGAGAGAGCTAGGGAGAGGACCGTTGGGTAAGAATAAGCAAGGAAGAAAATAAGGCCGAAGTTTGATGTGTCGATCGAAATTATTAAATCAAATAATTTTGTATGCGATCGACGCTTTATGACTGTTTTTATTAATTATATCAAGCATACGACTATGGTTAGATTTTTGTGACCTTCCAAAATTGTAATATCAAATTGATTTCATCATATATGATAGATGATTTATAGATACTTGACGAAATCGACGCAAGATGCAGAAAGTACTCAAGCTGAAAAGGTTTGTTAGTTAACTGAGAACGAGAGGGTGGTCACGTTCCTTTTTCGATAAATCCTGATGTTCTTACTGATTCGTGTGACTGATAGCTGAGTAAAGAATCCTCTGTTGCTATTAATAAATCAATTTATATATACTGGCCTACACAACTTCTATGATTTGATTTAGTTATTCAATCAGCAAAATCCTCACGTACTAACTATCACGGCTAATCAAATATTTGGCATTCATTTGCTATCAAAATATATTATCTTTCTATCAACAACTAGAAAATTATAACCTTTCAGCTTATGTTAGTAATGTTTTTTTCGCTCAATTATCGTTTTTTCCTGATACTGTATCCGCTGCATATCAAAATGAGACCAGTATTCTGCATAGTAGAATCGACAATGAATGTCATTCAGATTTAAATATCTCTATTCAATTGTGCATACATAAATAAATAGAAAATAAGTAAAACAACATTAAAAATATCTAGATAAAAACATCGAAATCATCACTTTTCTTAATCTGCTTCGGAATTCCCTGAAGATTTTCTAGATAAATAGACAAGAACTTTGTATTTTTTTTATAAAAGAAACAACTCAATGTATCAACATAAAATAAATAAATAGTGATTGGGAGATTTGAAAAACATTATTGCCACAAAAACAACATCTATTTTAATGTTATCATAATTCGATAAGTTAAGTCTTTTATTTAGTAGTCATTTATTTTATAGCCAACTTTTTATTATGCAATAGAAAACATGTATCTTTTTCTTCTATCAATCTATTAAAAACAGAAATAATTTCTTATTATGAATATCACAGAACCAAATCCACACAAACATGTAAGTGTAACAGCGCGACCGGCATGCATGCCAATCGATTCAAACGCCACGATAAGTATATATACACATTTATATACAAGTAGATGCATGGAAAATCTTCTTAAAATTTAATTACGGAGGGAGCAAAAAACTAGACATACATACTTAAGAAGATCATTGGTGATTGTAGTGCGGGGTGAGTTAGTGACTCTTGTAGAAAAAAAAACAGAAAATTTGAAAGCAACAAATAAATAACAGTCGACATATCTATGCCTATCAGAAATTGTACATTTTTTCCATAATTACGTTAGCTTACTGGCATTTGCGTGTATTCGTAAACAGGCGAAACAAAAGAGTATAAAGGTTGATAATAAAAAAAAGATAAGCCGTATGTTCAAAAGTCAGAGAAAACGAATTTACACAAAGAAAAATAGCGAAAGAAAAAGGCGACGTATCACCGTGCAAAAAAACAAACAAACAAGAAAATGTAATATTGATAAGTAAAAGATTGATGCACGTTAAACGTGAAACTTGACTTTGTGTTGTTTACATCCGTGTTATTTTCAATTGTTTCATCGATTCATTATTGTCGCCTAGAAAAGAATAGAGCCAATCAAAAAATAAAATAAAATAAATAATATTTTTCTAGAATTTCATATTTTAAAAATATTATACTAACTACAAAGTCTTTGATTAGTTTTTCCTTTCTTTTTCTTATGAAAATCTTCAACAAATTCGATTGATAGTGTATCCTTCATACTGATCTTATTACTCTATATAGTAGATCACTATAGACACTATAGAAATTCCCTTACATAAGCTGATCGAGAGAATGCACTGATTATATTGTATTGTTGACGAATGAATAGACAATATAAGAAAGTCTATGCTCGATCTTACTCTACAAATTCATAGAATTATTCTTCAATACATTGGGGATGAAACTGTCAACACTCTTTATTTGATTGGTAATTAAAAACTTTTTTTTTTTTTATTTTCATAATTACAAATAATAATAATAATAAACTTGAGAAATATGAATTAGTATTGATTTTAATTACATTTGTGCTAGTCGTATGAAATATTTTCAAGAACGAAAAATCTTCTCTTTGATGACATAAAGAAAAAAGAAGATCATATAATAAGATTTTTCTTCAATACGTTTATACTCATGAGACTTGAAATAAAAATACTTCTTCTCTGGAGAGACAATTCATAATTTCTACGTTTTTCATTTGCTTGACATCCAGAAGATGCATCTATAAATATACATCATTGTACTTCCTACTGAATAGGATTCATCATTATAAAGCTTATCAAACAACTATCCGACAGATATTCTAGTCAGTTGTGTCATGTTGAAATTTACTATTTCTTGTTGAAAGATTGTTTTACAAATAGAAAGACGCCTTCTTTATTCTTTTGAACAAAGAAGCCGACAAGTATCTCGCTAAATTGACAGGAAATTGAATATAATTTTTTTCTTTCTCGGCACTTCAATACATTGTTGTTTAAGTATAATTTTGAATTCAAATCAATTTTCTGTTTTATAAAATATTCTTGTAATATTTAATTGATATTAGAAAAAATAATTTATTCTATGAAATCGATATGACCATTTTTGTCTATTTGCTAACTTATTTCCGCAGAATTAATTTGAACACCGACAGTAAAGTTGACTGAAAAGAAAAAGATCCTATTATAAACAATTAGCACACGTTCGTTCATGGCAGTGTGGGTGCCTGAAGAACGTATGCTTTATGATACACAAGAGGCTATCTATAAATGGTATAATCAAATCAATGATATTTTACTAACTTCAACGAAACATCTACTCGAAAATAGATTGACATCCATCAATCAAAACAAAAGAAATATTCGCAGGTATCAATGTTTGATCGAATCATTTTATACAACGTAAAATGGTAGAGGTTGATGTAGCCATCAGCAAAAATAGATATTCATCCATGCAGACGCAAAATAGATTAAACACTATTCTATTGTATCTAGCTATGCTATCAACGGTTAACTGTGCTTCGTGGTTGAACAGTCAAAACAAAATAACAATAAGCTAGTTCTGATTTCTATGTACTGTGTGACGCCCTAGGAATTAATATTATCATGTAGAGATTACTTCGCACGTAAAAATGCATTTGATATTAGTATTACTGATGTTCGCTGAGAATCAGGAAGTTGAGATATATATATATGCTTTTTTCTTCTTAATACTTTCAATTATGAAAAACTTGAAGTCTTTTAATCAATGATCTATGTTATAAAAGGACGGAGAAAATAATAAAATAAATCACTGGAAAAAATTTCTCCGTTTATTTGAGTGCTTTCTTTATAGTACTTAGATCAGCTAACATGATCTTGGTACTTAATGAGTCAATTCAGGAGAAAGGCATTCCATGGATCAGTCAAACCTAATGTTGTAGATCGTTGTCCTGATATTTAGGATTTTCGTTAAGGAAGAAAGGGATGACTACTAGCTTTAGGGAAAATAATATTTTGATTTCTTAACTAATTGTTTTTTTCTTTATTAACGTCTTTTTACAATGAAAATTAAAAAATCGAGATTCTATTGTGACTATTGTAAGTGAAAGAAGCTCTTCCTATTTCTCAATACAATCAAGTTATTTAGTTATATTTGCTATAGAAATTCATTCATTTAATCCACTTTAAGAGGCTGTTTTAGAAGTAACAATAGTTATTGAATAGGAATTTTTGGCTATTGAATTAATGAGGAGATGACTTGGCTGGGTGAACTATAACTCAAAGTTTGATACATCGATATCTACTTTATTCAGTTTCTTGTGAATGAGTTGTCGTTCGATTATGGAGCTGATACATTAATTCAATCTCGACAATTAAAACAGCAGAGTTATTCTAGACTCGAAATCAATAAAATGCTCTCTTCGAATAAGTGTGAAGATCTAAGAGATTTAAAGTGGCTTTAAGCTCTGCCCTTCAGTTTGAATGTTCTCTTTTTTTTAAAAAAAAAATGAGGATCAAATAATAATGTATTTCATTTCTTTGAAAATTATCGTTTCTAGAGCTAATCCATCAAAAACGTCATAAACATGACTTTTTCCCATGAGATTAGTTTCCTGAAAACTGACAAATTCCCTAGAAAAAATATGTCAAAGGGAAAAGGCGTACTAAGGTACAATCAGATTTTTTCAAAATATATCTTAAGAATATTTTAATGATGAGAGTCGAGAAACGATATTCAATCATTCTAGTTTTCATCAATAAGCTAGCAACAATAAATACAGATTTGTTCAAATTATATTTTAAGAACATTTTAATGATGAGAGTAGAGAAACAATATTCAATCATTCTAGTTTCATCAACAAACTAGCAACAGTAAATAGTCTATAAAAGAAAAATGATTCAATATATCTGAAAAATGGATAAGACGGATACCAGTTGCAACACAGACTATTTTCTAAGAATGAACTTTTCGAAAAGAAGATAGAAAAAACAAAATTTCACATTCAAGAAAAGAATCTTAATATAATTGATTCCTTTTATTTTGTTTTCATTCATCTAACGATATTGGTTAGTATTGTAATTGAATGGTAATGATGCATTTTAGTTTAAAAATATTTTTCACTGAGATTTTTAAAGACCCGTGTTAACAATCAATTGCATTTCTAGCTACTATAGGAAGCATTTTTTTAAAAGAAAAAGGGTCACCTATGGCGACATACAGTTTGATTTATAATATTACCATTTGTTAATGATGCTTAATAAATTCATCTATATTCTCGATCTAGGCTGTTCTACGAAAAAATAAAACTTCACATTGAATCTCAAAAAAATTAATTACCATGATTCAGTGCAACATCTATTCTATCAGTAGATCCTCCTATCAAGTCCTTGATCATATTGACCGATGAAAGTAGATATAAGCAAGAAATAGTACGGTTTGTTCAAACGTAACGCAGTGATATGTTGACAAACTGTTTTGCAGTTATCTCGAAAGTCATAAGAGCTCATAACATCGTTCAAACGTCATTCGACGCAGCTCATCATAATCTATTTATGTTGAAATAATGACCTAGTTTGACTGAACTTTCGCGCTTCTAGAAAGGTTTTATCATCGCGTAACACTGTGACAAAAAAGGACCTTTTTTCTAGGGCTGCTTATAGTGCTCTACATTTTTGACAAATCATTTCTTCAAATTGGATGCTTATGGTACCAGTTTTGTAGAGAATTGAATGAGCTTTCAAGCAGTAAAAAATATTTTTTCTAGCCTATTTTCGCTCAGATTAAAAATGCAAAAAACAAACGTAACGCTGTGACACGTTTTTTTGTTGACCAAATTTGAAGCACTTAACATGCTTAAAAATACTTAATGTTTATATATATTGATTACTGCCCTGAATATATCCTTCTGTAAAAAAATCAAGTTGGTACATCGAAATACGAGCTTAATAATTGTATTGTCAGTTAGAAACTGTACAAGAGCTTAGAAGTTATGCTGAAGAGTGAAAGTAAAAACTTAATAGATCATTTTGTAGAGAATTAAATTCTGCATCGAATGATATCTTAGTCTGCATTTTTGTTTTCAATTTCTTGGTTAGAAAATTGAAAATACAATTTTTAGAATCTTTAAAACCCGATTTTCGATGTCAAAACTCAATTGTTTTTAAGAAAAAAAGTTCAAATTCGCAATCAGCGTAAAAAAACTATACTAGACAATACGCTTAGATCTGTCTATATCGAAAAAACAAATTTTTAAAACTTGATCAGCGAAGTAGCGGTTACGTGGACATGCCGAATAACGAAACTGCATTTTACTAGTCTCTATCTATCATATAAGATTTTAAAAGGAAGTAAAGTTGTTGTTTTTTAATATGTTTTACCTTTCAAGAACATCTAATGAATAGTTCCATCCAAGATTATTATCCCAAAATTCTTGGTTTGCAGCTTGTAAACAAATAACAAAACTAATTTGTTTTGGAACTTTTGTGCTGTCATCATATTTTTTCAAACGTATTTCAAATGTAAACGTATCTGTATTATTATTTTTATAATTCATTGAATGCCATCCGTAAATATCTTGAGATGTTTGCCACTCATTATCAGTTAAACGAATAAAAACACGTTTTTCAAAAGAAATATTATGAACACGAACTGTTCCATATGCTGTTGAATCATTGGTATATAAGCATTCAAGCATTACTTGTCGATCATATATTAACGGGATAATATTAGTTGGAGAAGTGAAATGTTTAGAAACTAAATAATATTGTTTCGTTGATTTTGTCGTACCATTCAATGATGTAACTGAAGATGATCGATTAAAATAATTCGGAAGATCAAAAGGACAAGGAGATGCACTTAGCGAGTTTAGTTGACTTTTAGCCTGACGTAATTGTTCTAACTTGATGCGAATACATTCTTGAATGAGCGAATTTGCTGATTGATCTGGTGGAGTCATATAGCGAATAGACTCCAGATCAAGACCCTAGAGAACGAAAGAAACATCGTGTTTGATATTATTAAAACTGTTCACTCTCGGCATTTAACTAGATATTGAATATTACTAACGAGTATGGGTTTCGAAAATTATTTCGTCCTTGATTTTTCTTATTGTTTGAGTTTTTTTGAATTAGTTCAATTCAACGATAATACTACGAACAGGAAAAATCGCAGAATTAGTTTATTCAATTGAATTCATCTTATTAGCTTTCTTTTCTGGACAACTAAAAATCGTAGATCTACAGGTGGAACATTTTCTTTGACCTAATTTTTTATTCAAAACTGAAACTAAACAGAAAATAACCGTATAATTACATTCTACATGATTGAAATTGCACAAAAATCATTGCTCGAGCATACAGTATGATAAGTTCCATATTGATGGTGCAACTCGATATATTGATCATGAGCCAGTGATAAATCAATAGATACTTGAATAGTAGACAACCTACCGTCGATATACACGCGAAATTTGCAATATGACATGATTTTCAATAGAAAACATAGCTATTACGTCGAATTATGAAGTTTTTATTGCTATCTGTTAATAGAATACATGATACTAACTATGCAAATACTTGATACAGTTTCATATGTTTTTGATATAATTATAAGAAACGAATTGAAAAACGATTTTCACAAAAGCTTATTTTTGAAATATATCATTTGTTATCTTGACAGATTCATCAAAGTTGAATATCTGTATTCGTATTTTTCTTGTCTCTATGGCTTGAATTTCTATTTATAGCTTTGGGATAGATAATTTTATTATTACAATTTTAGCTCATAGAAAAATAAAAAAGAAAGTCATTATTTCTTCACGAATTATCATATTACTAAGCAAATACCAAAGAATGCAATGGCATCCAACAGAAACATCTAGTATAGAGTTGTAATTTTTGATAAGATAAATTAACTTCATGCGGAGCAACGTGCCCCTAGATGATAAGAATCGAAATTTGCCGCGTCTCTCAAATATTTCAAAGTATACACTGCATCAAAAAATATACGTCGTTTTGGGTATTTCAATGTAAAGGATTCGACTCTTACTAATGATAAAAGAAAGGAAGGTGATTCATCGACTCGGGTAACAGCAGGTACATTTTGGGCTACTTCTCATTTGCGAACATGAAAAAAATAGTTTTAACTAAGTTCACTGCAATTTGTAGAGGACGTAAGTTTTCTATGATAAAATGTTTTTCAACTTTAAATAATTACTGCTATTTCTAGAGGAAGTTCGCTATTTTATGATAAAAAGTTTCTCAAGTTTAAATAATTACTGTAATTTGCAGAGGATAAGAGTTTTTGACAATAGAAAGCTTTTCCGTTCTAAAAAATTGCTGCAATTTGTTGAAGACGGATTTTTTTAGAACTGAAGAGAGCTCTTGTAAAGAAAAAAAGTTAATGTTCTTAGTGACATGATCTTTTTTAATATAGAGTTCATTGCT